TTTCATTGGTGTAAATATAGGCACAGCACTCTCTGACATGCCAAATCCAACCCAGGTGGTGGCTCTTCTCAAAGCTCAGCAAATCCACCATGTCAGGCTTTATGATGCAGACCGAGCCATGCTACTCGCACTTGCCAATACTGGAATACGAGTTACTGTATCTGTTCCCAACGATCAGCTACTAGGCATTGGGCAATCGAATGCAGCTGCAGCCAACTGGGTTTCTCGTAATGTTCTTGCACATGTTCCCGCCACGAACATCACTGCCATCGCTGTAGGATCCGAAGTCCTAAGCACCCTTCCAAATGCTGCTCCAATCCTAGTTTCTGCCATGAAATACATTCATTCTTCCCTCATAGCTTCAAATCTTGACTCCCAAATTAAAGTTTCTACCCCACATCCTTCTTCTATAATCCTCGACTCGTTTCCACCCTCCCAAGCTTTTTTTAACCGCTCCTGGGACCCTGTTATGGTCCCATTACTCAAGTTTTTGCAGTCTACTGGATCATTTCTTATGCTTAATGTGTATCCGTATTATGATTACATGCAGTCCAACGGTGTGATTCCTTTGGATTATGCTCTATTTCGTCCACTCTCTCCTAACAAGGAAGCTGTTGATCCTAATACACTTTTGCATTACACAAATGTCTTTGATGCAGTCGTTGATGCAGGATACTTTGCAATGTCCTATTTGAATTTCACTAACATTCCCATTGTTGTAACCGAATCAGGTTGGCCTTCCAAGGGTGATTCGTCTGAACAAGATGCAACTCTTGACAACTCCAACACTTATAACAGTAAACTTATCAGACAGGTTTTTAACAACACGGGGACTCCCAAGCATCCCGGGATTGCAATTAGTACATACATTTATGAACTTTACAATGAAGATCTTAGGCCTGGGCCTATTTCAGAGAAGAACTGGGGGCTTTTCAATGCCAATGGGGTGCCAATTTATATCCTACGCTTGACTGGTTCTGGAACCGTGTTGGCAAATGATACTACAAATCAAACATTCTGTGTTGCAAGGGAAGGTGCTGACCGCAAAATGTTACAAGCTGCCCTAGATTGGGCTTGTGGACCCGGAAAAGTGGATTGTTCTCCTCTGTTACAAGGGCAACCTTGCTATGAACCAGATACTGTAATGGCACATGCATCATATGCTTTCGATGCATATTATCACTGGATGGTTATGGCTGATGGAACCTGCAACTTCAATGGGGTAGCCACCGTCACCACCTCAGATCCAAGTATGTGGCCAATATATTTTCCTTTCTGGATCACATTTAGCAATTACTGCTTTGTGCTATTTGAAACTGTGGTGATATAATTAAATTAGTGCAAAGAGAATACATTTAAGATGAAAACTACTAAAGGCACTAAAAAAATTGTATGCTTGCATGAAACCTGGTTAAACCACTTGCTTTAATATCTTGTTTTAATGTGGTATTATGAGTTTTGAATGTTTTCCCTACTCATTTGCTGAGCATTAAGAATCCCATCAACTGAGTTCGTGGATAAGTATAGGGAATGAAAAATTTAGAAGGAAGACATAATGAACCCCCTGTAAACTTGTTGGGATTACTAATGTTATTGTTCTGGTGCAGGTCACGTTTCTTGCATATTTCCCGGAAGGTATGAACTCAAATTGGTTATTGAGATAGCTCTGATATCTTTTCACAATGTCTGGGTTCAATTACATGGTTGAGTTCCTCTGAAAAAGTTGTCTTTTTTGTTTGTTTATTTTTTTTTAGTGGTGGAAGAAATGTAACCTTTACGAATAGCACCTCCCCGGTTCCATCCTCAAACTCTACCGCATCTGGCTGTCATTCGCGATATTTCAGTAGCAGTGATGCTTTCGCGAGCTCTTTGGTACTTGGCGTTCTACTTTGGAGTGCTACGTTTTTGTAATAGTATTTCTTTATCATGCATCTTTGTAAATGCATTGACAACCTTGGAACAATTGTTTTTGCTGTTGATGTACCTTATCACACCCAGTTTTGTTACTACTCCAAGGAGTGTAAGGTGTGGCGGTCATTTAAGAAAGAGCTGTCTGGTAATTTGGTGTAGAATGGTTCATTAATTTGTAAAAACTACCCATTTTATTAGATTAGAAAGTAATTCGGTAATTCTGATTAGACAAATCTCTCTTTCTGTTCTGCATCTGTACTTTAGTGTCCACCACATTCATTGATTTTGTAAAGGATGAAACCCGAGTCCATGAATCTGTTTTCCTTTTGATGCCTTATGCTTTAATGGAATTTCTATATGCCCTGTATAATCAAATTCCAAACTAAATAAATGCACTACACGAATACTTTAGATCCACTTGAGGACATATAACAATTTTTGTGATCATAGTATGCATAACATCACCGAACCACCTCAATGGGGCGGGAATTTTGCATGACAAGTAGTGCAGACAAACCCAGAAGTGCATGAAAACCTGCAGGCCTGATGGGCATGCAGGTTGCAGTATGGCTTGTTACAGAAATTGCACTTCGGGAGCTGCAGCCAACACTCTAAACACAACACTTCTGCACAAGCTGCCTCTGCGAGTTCTTGACCGGTAATACAAAGGCCACACTCTTCGCACCTCGGAATACAGTGGTAGCATCCCCTACATTCAA